TTGATATGATTTATTCTAGTTTTTGTCTTGAATGTGCTTGTTCAATGTATGAATTTCCCGACGAACAATTTCTCGATTCAGTGATATATTAATACCTACTGTATTATTATTAATTTGTTCATTTCGAAATGCAACATCGTATACATTTAATAGGGTGTGGGTGTGGGTGTGGGGTTTGGGTATGGGTGCGGTGTGAGTCGAGAAAACAGAAATACAGACACCCACACTCACCCCACACCCTATCTTCTAAAATGCTTTGTTTTTTCTATGTAAGTAGAATAAATGTTAACAAAATTGAAGTGATGTTCCAATACAAGCTTTTATTTTATTATATTTAGATGTAATAGAAAGAAAAGGAAGGAATTAATCAATATAAATGGAAAACATTTGTGGTGGAATAAGATCCAAACCTTCACCATATAATATTGGAATAAGGAGTGTTTTAGGTGCATTTTTAATACGAGTTATTGTTAATATTTGTTTTTCTTGAAAATTATTAATATTAAAAGTAAATTCTTTTGGTGATAATGTAAAACAATCAATAAATTCAGTTGTATTCCATTGAACACGAACAGTGCCATTTCCATCAATTTGATGTGGTGGAGTAGAAAGGGAAACATGAAATTCTGCACTTTGATGTAATCTTATCGTTGCAAATTCTGGATAATATTAAAGGCCAGGATCAAGATCTTCACAAGCGGTAGGCCAGTTCATGGAAATTGAATTAAAATATTTGTCATCTGGTTTTCCAATTGATATTATCTTACAGGGTGTGGGTGGATGTGAGTGTGGGTGTGGGTGGGTGGGTGTGAATGTGGGTGGGTGGGTGTGTGGGTGTGGGTGTGAGTGTAGGTGGATGTGGGTGGGTATGGGGTGTGGGAGTGGGTGTGAGTGAAGGCGTGGGTGGGGGTGTGAGTGTTCTATCAATCCACAACCGCACCCACAACGGCCCGCACCCATACCCACACCGAAACCCACACCCTTTTATTAGTGTCTGAAGAAATAATGAAGCATGCTCTAGAGAAGTCAAAGCATGTGTTTAATGTGAAAACGTGATATCACGGTGAGATCATTTTTCCATCAACTCAGATAAATCTAATGAATATTATGATTCGTATCTCACAATGATTCGTTCAGTGACTGGTGAAGTGGATGCGACCATCATTCATTGAGAAAACGCATAAAGATCTATATAACCGCTCAATTCTGACGTGAATGGATTCAGATGTAATCGACACATTTCGTGATTCACAAATTTTTGCTCGATTAGGTGAAAGTGTATGAAAAGGACATGACAAGGTGACAATGTGGGTTAGTATAACAGACAGGTTGACTGGGTAATGATGATGATCAAGTGACTACTGTCAGACTATCATCCGTAAACTCTGACATGGGCTCTCAAACTATTTATATTTCGAACTCTCAGAGTAGACGGATGTGGGTGCGAGCACTGTCTTCAAATCATGAACACAAACACCCATACTCGAAAAAATGAACTTTTCGTATGAACATTGCATATCACAAGGCTATAGAGAACAGATAATATCGAGTTTTAAGTCATCCATGTGCAATCGGAATGAGGACTAATTAATTAATTCGAACGAAAATCTACTGACTCATTCATTGATTCATAACGATGAAAAAAGAAAAGCAAGCAAACAAATAAAAGGATGTGATTGTGGGTGTGCATACCGATCGCTCTACCATCTGCACCGACATTGACAAATAGGTTTTTCCAGTATAACGATGTTAAAAGGATCAAATAAATTGGTACAATAGAAATTTTAAATGTGAACATTTTCGAAATAATCAGAGCATCCCTACCAAGTGTTAAAATTGTTATAACTCTGATTTATTCATTTATTTGGCATTTTTTTAACTAAATTATTTTAACCTCTCTGACAATATACAATAAACGTATAACAGTCAGCGTTAGCGAGTTTCATAATTTCGTCCCTCATCAAGCCGTATTGACAAGTTTTTTCTAATGATTCCACGAAAATTTTTACATGGCCGTGTGTTAATCGGAGAAATAAATCAGCATCATCAAATTTATTGAGCATGAGTGACTCGAAATCGATCCAATGTCATTCGACTGAATATCGCGAACGATCGTACTAACTTATGTTAAAAAATTCCACGTAAGTAATAAGTTTATGACTTTAGTGCCACATCTGTAGAATTCTGTGTTTTGCGAAACATACAATTTCGTTTGAAATGTGACATGTTGATGTCACAATCTTTCTTTCCTTTTTCTTGCTACCAATTGCAATCGAAGAAAAAAGATTGATTCGTTAATTGTAAGTATATGCCGTTCTGTTGACAGAAGATCGAACACGCCCGCACATATGGGGCAACACCACATGATTGCAACCTATATCGAATGAGTAATCGTTTACATTCGCAGGTGTGGCACAATAGAATTATTTCGTTTTATTAGAAGGATATTTGTCATTTGACAATTAAGCTAAAAAATGACGGATTCGAATGAATCAAAACAAATGAATAGAAGAACTGATGTCAACCTACAATCTATCGAAACTTTTCATGTCATTTGTCTGATAACAAATGAAGATCAAATGGTATTACATCAAGAAAATGATGTTGCTAAATTTCGTCATATTGTTAATAATTTTCGATTATTCAACGATCGAGATGCGTGCATCGATTATATTACAGAACTTGCGACGAATAAATTCTTTCTTATTTTATCCGCTCATATCGGTGAACAAATCATTCCTCTTATTGATCAATGCAGTCAGATCGATTCAATTTATATTTATTCAGCAAGTGAAATGAAATCTGTTCTACAGACTGAATTCTATCGAAAAATCTCTGGTAATTTTGTCGACATTGATTCGATTTGTGAACAGCTGAATGTCGATGCTCGACGATGTTCGAATAATCTGCTATCAATGTCATCTATTCCATTTCCATCTACTCGAAAACATCAGATAAATGGAAAAGATGTGTCATTTACGTATTCACAATTGATTCGAGATTTATTTCTTGATATGGATCTTTCAATACCTTCAATACGTGATATGATCTTTCATTTTTCAATTAAATTTGAAGGTAACGAACGTGGATTAGCTCTCATCGATGAATTAGATCGTGATAATTGTTCGATGCAATCAAATATTCGGACAGGAACTGTTTCAAAAGGTAAATCAATATGGTGGTACACTCGATGTGGTTTCGTATTCGAAGTAATTAATCAAGCGTTACGAAGGCAAGATATCGATATGTTATATAAAATGCGATATTTCATTGTTGATCTTCATAGACAATTAAAAGAATTGTGTTTAGCTCAATCAATAACAAATAGCCCATTGACTGTCTATCGAGGTCAAGCTATGTTAAATGAAGAATTTGAACAGCACAAATTCAATATAAATGGCTTACTAACAATTAATAATTTTCTCTCGACAAGTACAGATTATCAGGTAGCCAAAGGTTTCGCATTTGCAAATAAAAATCGATCTGGTATGCAAGCTGTTCTATTCGAAATTGAGCTCGATCCAAATATTCCTTGTCAACAATGTCCATATGCCAACATCGAACATCTGAGTTATTATCAAACGGAATGTGAAGTTCTCATTTCAATGGGAAGCATATATCGAATTTGTTCCATCGATAAAGATAATGATGATATTTGGAAAATACATCTCAAATTAATCGATAAACAAAAAGATCAAGAGTTAGAAACAATGGCTGACAATATTTGGGAAAAGATTCGATCATATGATGATTTGTTCAGTTTAATAAAATTATCACGTCTAGTGGGTGATTTTGAAACAGCGAAAAGATTCATTGATCAATTATTGAATGAATCATATTTTTGGGATGAAATGCAAAATTTGGCCTTCTTGATCAATGAAGTCGGATTGATTTGTGAAGAACAAGGTGATTTTACAACGGCTAGTATATACTATCAAATATTTATGGATATGAAACAAAAGCGACAATTGATTTGTAGAAGAGATACGATTTCATCGACCTTAGAACGAGCAACATTTCAAACTATCTCGAAACATATTCAAGATATGAACAATGAAAATAATGAAAAATTAATCGAATTGAAAAATTCTTTGAAAAATGAAGAGAAAAGTGATATGCCAAATAGGGAAAAGTCAGCCAATTATTGCCAACAAATCGGTCATATCTATGAACTACAGGAAAACGACAAAAAAGCTCTTAACATGTACCAAAAAAGTTTAAAACTATTTGTACCTGTTGGTTTAGAAGTTATGCAAATCTACTCCAGTATGGCTCTCCTATATGCTAAACAAAACGATTGGTCGACATCGAACGCGTACATAGAAAAAACATTAGAATATTTACATAGCAAACCCTATAGCGATACATTTATAGAGTACTATGAAAAAATCGGTCTTGCATACGAAGTTCAAGAACGATATATAGATGCTATTCGAATATACGAGAAAATCTTATCTTTTATTCCAGATGAATACTATTATGACGAGATAGTTCTCGCTCATATCGGTTATGTCTATGAAAAGCAACAGAATTACATCGATTCATTGCAAATCTACGAACGGCTATTATCTCTTCAATTGAATGTACTTTATCGTGATCATCCACGATTGGCAGATACGTATGCATCGATAGCCAACTCATGCTATGGTCAACATAAACATCAAGAAGCTTATACAAATTTAACAAATGCACTCAATATTGATCTTCTTACAATGAGTGAGAATCATCCGTGGATAAAAAAGCGTCAAGAAGAAATTGATTTTATTCGACAAAAGATATATAACGTCTGAGAGAAATGCCGCTTATCTATCTTTATCAAGAGAAGCGAACTCTGTCAATTGATATAGGACCTGTTTTTATGAATTATGTCATACTGATTAAATGATCGAAATAGAATAATTCCATGAGAAACACTAAATATAGACATCCCAGGTGTGGTCTCATCTAGTGTCTTGATTTCTCTTTAAACTAACTGACAAGTAAGAGTTGAGAGCAGCAGATTTATTTGTCTTTTCGTTAGAAGATAGATTGATCTGTTTGTGAATTGATTTACGTATACCCAACCGAGCACAAACAAGTGTCGTGGATGCATTGTTCTCTCGCTCAAAATACTTGAAAATTGACTCTTTGATGAAATTTATTGAATATAGTATTATGAAAGCTATTTAAATTTATTATTTAAACGTATTAGAAAGAAAAAAGATAAAATTCTAAATAATTTAAACAAAATTGATGATTTTCGATTCATTAATTAATAAAACCAATCCCAACATGTTGAACGATTATCTCTATATCAATTGATAGGAAATGAAAAAGTACAAAAAGTAACATTTACCACGCAATACGTGCCAGAAGACTACGTGGATATTTGCGTATGCAGAACTTTCGTAGTTCATCAATAATTAGCCACAGCATACCGAAACCAAGTGTCGGCATGACATATTTCGCCGGCACGCGACCTGTGCCTAAGACACGATTAAACCAACGAATTTCTGTGAAAAATAATTGAATAGCAATTGACATGAACATAGCACCAAAAATGTATAAATTTTGACCTTTACCCCAAAAAGGATTATGTTGAAGAATAGATGTATATCGAGTACGTGTAGCAAAAAAATTAAAAAATTGAAAAAGACACATTGAACAATAATAAACAGATTGTGCTACATTAGTCATCGATTGTAATTGGTCCATTGTATATGGAGTAGTGCCATTAAGGCCGAACTTTTCATAAGTAAACACGAAAGAATAGAAAGGTACACCATTGTCAATCCAATAATAACAAAAGCAGAAGAATGCTGTGAAACATTCGAGAATTCCAACAAATAAATAAGCATGAATAAGGAGTTTTATATTCAGTAGATGATCTTTTCCATGAATCGATGGTGGTTGAGACATAATATCACGGTTAGGCTTTTCCGTTACCATTGCTAATGGCATAATTACATCTGAATAAGAAAGAATATCAAATGAAAAAGTTATGTAAAATGAAAGTCTTGATCTAACATACCATTAAGCATACAGAAAACTGTAGCCCTAAGGGCAGACAGAGCTAATGGCATACCAAACCATAAATTAAAGAAAACTGGCCAAATTTGTGACCAAGAGCCTAAGATTTTGACTAAATAATTATTTTGACAAATTCATTAAAATATCTTTACCTTCGGGTAATCGATAAACGGCTACTTTCTTCAAATTATCACTTAATAAACGACCGGTTTCAATTGCTTGAATAATCGATGAAAAATTGTTATCGAGCAGAATTATATCACCAGCTTCTTTCGATACTTCTATACCAAATTGTATGGCTACACCAAGATGAGCACATTTAAGTGCTGGTACATCTTTAGCTCTATTATCTGTAACAGCGACAATTTCAGCACGTCGTTGAAATTCTGAAACGATGCGCAATTTTTGTTCGGGTGATATTCGTGCAAAAACCAATTCTTGATGAGATAAAACCCAATCTCATAAAAAATCATCCATAAAATCAATATCTGCACCGACAACCTATTCATTAAAAAACAACTTCTGACGTAAATCAGTAAGATAAGAAAAACTTGCCACAATTCCATATGGAATATATTCCATTTTAGTCGCTTTTGAAAGATCTGATTTCGGTTCGTTAAATTGATTTTGACACGATACCCAAGCTTGCTTGTACCAGGATAGTTTCTGATCAGATTGATCCTCATCAATATTGATCGAACTTCGGATATTTTTCTTGTTCGGATCAAGGCATGTCACTTGATCAGGAATGTACTGTTTCAATAATTGCTCATTTCAATATATATTGATAGCCGTTTGACCATTGGCATCTTTTTCAATTTTGAATGTATCTATACCATTCATTTCCAATATTTCAGGTGTTAAAATATGAACTTGTTTTGCAATAGCTTTAGCCATCATTGGATAATCACCGGTAACCATGACTACACGAATTTGAGCACGACGAGCTTGAAGAGTGGCATTAGGTACTTCTGGTCGTGGTGGATCAAGTAAGGAGAAAAAAACCAATAAAGCAATAATCATTCGATGGAAATCCATTGAGATCTTCAACATCGGTCGATGATTGTGAACGTTGTTCTTCTTTGTACCGTTTCATCATTCGATCATATTGTTGTCGAGTAAATCTTTGTTGACACATGGCGATGACACGATAACCATTTTTCGCTAGAAACATTCAAGTTAAAGGGAAAAAGAAACCCTTCGATTTTATTGGTATATCATTCATCTCACCTAATTCTTCGTGTCGATGAAACAATGCCTGTTTCATTTCGGCATTCAGTGGTAAAATCTCATCATTGTTAGTTTTATATGATGAACAACGTTGAATAACAACATCTGGTGCACCTTTCTGTATAATCAAAACGGTACGTTCACTTTCTAATATCGATGGATCAACTGATTCAAGTTGATTAGCCGATATCATAAATTTATTCGATGAATTGAATGGTAAGACTTTCAAACGAGGATTTACTTTACGTACAGCCTCCAAATCAACACCGCATCGATCCACACGTAAATTATAAAGTGCTGTATCAGCCGCATCACCTACTAGACGCAATTCAGATTGCATTTTCGATATGTCTTGTCCAAGCTGAGCATCTTCTACGATCTGTTTTTCAGCATTATTACATAGACAAGCGCCGAGAAGAAGATCACGAAATGCTTGAATTTGAATTTCACTGGCCACGTTCGGAATTTGATTCTTTTCATTATGATCACTAAATGATGGCATACGTTGTGGTACATTGATACTACCACTAGAAAGTGTTCGTGCAATCGAAATGACTTCATTTAATAGACGACGAGTTGTACTAAACATGCCAGTTGATATACGACGAATCTTTTGAAAAAGAGTTTCCGGTACAGTTGGTTCAGGTTCTGGTATAGGTACTTTATAGATGCCATGCGTGTCCCATAAGAGATGGGTAATTGTCATCTTGTTTTCAGTTAATATTCCTGTTTTATCAGTAGCAATCACTGAGATGGAATTAAAAGTCTCCACTATTTGTAAGCTTTTTACTATTATACGTTGTCGATACATTTTTTTAGCCACAAATGTCAATACTAAATTTAAAAAAATCGAAATATGAATTCTTTACAGTAGAACCATTCAGTTTTGACATAAGTTAAATATAGATCAATGAATAAATATCTTATGTTTTTGTCCTTATAATTAGGACGTAAATACAGAGCTTTGGAAAATTTTCGTTCTTCTCCTCACCAAGAGTGATAGAAACGCCTATTTTTTGCCAAGCAATGACGAACTATCAATTCTCTTGATCTTATGTCTCTCATCGCCAATCTCTATAAATGTAAAAGAAAAACTCAAAAATAAATAGTAATAATCAATGAGTAGTTAGAACTAATCTTTATTCTAGCAGAATAATATATTTGAAGTTCATTCATTAATGTCTACCTAACACATTCATTCAGATTTATGATTATAGGTATTAAATTATCAACGTTATATGGTCATATTCTATGCCTCATCCTCGAGAGTAGTAATCATTTACGAAATACAAAGTACAACAATATTTCTATAATGTATAAACAAAATGACTATGCGACATGTAAAATCTTGTAAAATGCCTATTTATTACTCACCTAGAGTCACAGTCGATGGCAAACCGATAGGCAAAAATGCGACAGTCATGCCGATAGAATTGACAATATTTGCATTGTAGGACATAAAGTCATGATGATCTCGATTGAGCCATGCTGCCCAAGTGATCCACAAGATGATAATAGAGATAATAGTAGCGATAAAAACAAATAAAACAAAACGATTAACTTCACGATGTAGACCAGTAACATCATTGCTTGTTTTGCTCCGTGATAATGGTAACATTTTACCCAAAACAGTATTGTCACCAGTGGCAATGACCAACGCTTCACCAGTACCTTGCTCGACGATTGATGAATAAAATCCAATGTTAGTTGATTCCATAAATTTCTCACTTGTACAGTGAACTGTGGATGTAACAGGTTTCAATTTGCCAGTTAATTCCGATGTACTGACCTAGATTTATTCAAACTGAAAAGAAAATTCATTAAAACACTTTTACTTTGAGTTCATTACAGATTAAAAATCGACAATCCGCTGGTAATTTATCACCCATACGAATGAGAATAATATCACCTGGTACAATCTGTTCAGCAAGTATTTGTTGTTCTTTACCATCACGTCGAACAGTCACAATTGTTGGTAATAATTTTGAAAATGATGCCACAATTTTAATTGATTTTATTTCTTGATAAACATTTAACATCGAATTAAAAGTGATAACTAAGATAAGTACGATAGCAAGTGCTAAATTCGTTATCGATGGATTCGGTTCACCAAATGGTTTATAAGCTAAGAAAGTAAGAATACTGGCAATCCAGAGAATAGCATTAAAACCAATGAATAATTCATTGATAAATAATCGTAAATAGCTTGGTTGTTTAGGTGGAGTGATCCTGTTTGCACCATATTGAATTTGTCCATCGATGACAGAAGCAGCTGACAAACCATCACGTGGATTCGTATGAAAACGTTGATAGAGATCATCAAGAGGAATTATATGAACATCTTGTTCAAGACGAGATCTATCCACAGTAGCCCAAAGATCAACAATTGAATCGTGTCGTTCACCTGTTTTTTGGTCACTATTGATGGTAGTTATTTGAGGAGAGTGTTGCTCTTCGTTTTCGATACCTTGATTATTCATAATATTGGATGACGTTTGTGCACAATATTGATATTTAAACGTTCTATCTGAAATAAAACTATGTGATTTGCATGATAAAAGCTTTGAAATTCTCCTTTGTAAAAACATTTTCCATACCCTTATTAATTTAGTCGTTCTCAAGATTGAATTGAATATTTCAAAACGAATGACTACCTCATCAAGAGAAAATAAGAGTCTAGTTCATACTCTCAATAAATCTACTTAATGCATCGGCTAGAAAATGCTTACTTCAGTGTCGTTTATATCTATGCAAACTGGGCAAAAATGTAATTTCATCAAGCAATGAAAAATGATATATTGTATCCTTGTCAATAGCCTTATCCAATGCTTCTTGACTACGAAAATGCAATTGAAAATGATTAATATGCGCACATGATGTCGAAATGAGATGCACAGGAATACATATTTGTCCATGATTTTGTACAGGTACTCACCTGCTCGTTATGTAAACATAGGATGAAGGATAAATTAACTATGTTTACATGTAAATCTACACTTTAAATAAGAGTCAGAACTTTGTTTTGACTCGATGCGCTTGAACGAAAGCATGTATTCAGTCAAAAATATATCTACTTACAATCGCATGCTTGTATTCGGTTGATATCTTTACTGATTATAAACTATTTATTTACTTTTCTACATTCCTAATAAAAAATGGTGAAATAACACAAACATAATTATGTATGAAAGCAATACTACGTGAGATTTAATTCAATATCTAGTTAATCAAACAGATGTAGAAGACTATAATGATAAATTTTTGTTTTTTTTTATTTATATGGAAATTTTCGATCTTATACGATCATTATCAACCAGTTTAACAGAACTATAGATGTTACAAAACACAAACAGAAAAAACAAATAGACAATCAAGAAAATAGATGAGAAAGATGAACATCATTCCCT